AAGAGGGATGCTCAGTGGGTTATTATGCTGTGCCTGTGATCAGAAGGTTGCTGGTTCAAATCCCAAGTTCGGCAGAGTGGTTTCCCTTTTGGGCCCTTGAACAAAACCCTTAATCACCAATTGTTCTAGGGACTAGCTGTCCCTGCTTTGTCAAAAACACTTGTCACCTTGGATAAGCGTCTTCTAATTAAATTTTGATCCAGCGTGATAGACTGCAGTGCCAGCATTCAAGTCAATGGCTTTGTGACTGATTAACAGACTCAGGGGGGAAATGACAGCTGATATTACGGGCTGTGACTCCAGCCATCCAGCCCACCAGGCAGTGTACAGACTCGTTTGGGAGGCACGCAATGCAGACAGACTCAGTAGTGTCTGTGGTATTGAGAACCCCAGAAATCCATGGCTTGATGCTAATATTGAGTTGACTAGGCTAGCGAGGTCCACAAACTGCAGGACTGAAGGGGTTCCACTGTCCATCATGACCATGAATGGTCCGGCAGGGTTTCAGATTCAGAGCAAGGAAGACCCACCAGAACAAGGCTGATCACAGGAAGCTGCCTGTAACTATCACAAACCACACACAGGCCTGCTAGGGGCGGCCTCTGTGCTGGGGAGCGATGCCGTGGGTGTTAGGTCACTCACGGGAGTCACCACGATGGTCGACTTTCAGCACTGTCCAACTGCAAAAAATCACCAAACTGTCACCAGAGGTGGAGAGACTGTATGGAAGATGCTGGATGAGATTTAGCAGGGGGGGTCACATTCCTGCCCGGGGTGTGTGTGGGGAGGAGGGGGGCGTTTTGCATATTATTTGAATTTGCTGGATTTAGCCCCCCCCCCCTCCCACCCCACTGAGGCTTCTGGCTAAAACAGCCACGACAACTATTCTCAGGAAAGGGGAAAACTGTCACTAGAGAACCTAAAACTGTCACTGCAGAGTCTGAGGGGGGGGGGGGTACTTTCCAGGACCTTGTGGTTCTTCATGTGGTTCTCAAACCCCAAAACATCTGGGGGGGGGGGGGTGTTACGGTCACCAGCTTTTGAAAAGGAACAAAAAAACAGTCACACTGTGCAATGAAAACCTCACTCTGCATGTCCGTAACGGCTCCCGGTAAACTCAAATTAAACACAAATTAAACACAAATTAAACACATTTAGACACAAATTAAACAGAAATACAAATGAAGGCACTGAAAACACAGTACAACTATGCCATAAATCAATAGGATGATACATACAAGTATAATTGTGACAATAAATATGTAAAAACAGTGCAATGTAAACAAAATGCAAATATAATGAGTTTCGCAAAGGATCGTATGAGCAGCTTCACTGTGAATGGGGGGTGCATCGCACTGCTTTGGGGCAGGACCAAACATGGGTGCAAGTCACCTGGGCTTTCCCCAGAAAGTGAGTCACATGGGACACCTGTTCATTCCTGCCTCTCCAGAGTCACAGGTGCATCGCACTGCTTTGCCTAAGTCAGATTTAATCAGGGAGCACAAGGACCCATCAGCTTGTCAAATGAGGACACTTAGGGACACTTAAGGACAAGATCAGACAAAGAGATTCAAGGCATTAGCGTAGAACCGCTGCCAACAAGCAGGTGTGTGAAGCATAATTTACATACATCCATTTTATCCAAAGCGACGCATTTCTGAGAAAGCAGAGTCAGACAGTCCTTGTAAAAACAGGGAATAAGGGCTTTGTTCAGGGGCCCAATGGAGACATCACTCTGCTGATGTCGGGTTTTGAACCAACAACCTGGGGGAACACCGATGGGCAAGAAAAGATGAAGCTGTGACTTTTGCCGCCTCTCGCACAGCAGTGGGAGACCCCCACCCCCCCCACCCTGGTCCCTTTATCCATGCAGCATCTTCTCCTTCTGCTCCACCAGTTCTACCAGCACTTCCCTGTAAACGCTCACTCATTATGACGCCGTAAGCCCACCCTCCCCCGGCCCTCAGCAA